AAGAGAGTGCAAAGATATATTATATGTTAAAATTATGAACTATGTACAAAATATTTTTTAAATAAAAATGATAAAATGAAATAAGGATGCAAATTCTATATTACTTAATGTTGAAGTATGAAATTCTTATATTTATAATGATGTGAAGAGAAAATTAATTATATAATTATATATTTATATATATATTTTAATGCCCACAAATAAAAGCATCATAGGTTGGAGGTAATGAATCGGCAAGAGGAGCAGGTATTAGGGAGGATATACTTCGATAAGAAGGTAATTTATTCAACTCTTCAATATTATAGTCATCAATTAAACATTCATCAAAAGAAGAAGTTGAAGAGATCGAAGAAGAACATGAAATTGAAGAATCGTCTTCAGGTAAAATCATATCAGCATAATGTTCATGATAAGCCGGTAAAGCCATTGAATCATTATTAGGGGAGATTATAATTGGAATATCGGCAATTAATTCGCTAAAATTTGTGCCACCTTGGTTGGCGAACATAATAAAGAACTTAAGCTTATGTTTGATTTTGATGATTTCATTTTGTGAGTCGCAGAGACATGCTGAAGTTGGAACAAACATTTCAAAAGAATGGCTCCAAGTATCCCCTTCACAGGGGAAATTATTTTCTCGATGAACTCTCAAAATCTTTGAAACCGTTTTTTTACTTGTCCCCACAGCACACGTGGCGTATTCTTTAAGTGTGCATAAAAGATAATGAACTTTGAGACCTTCATGGATCGGTTTTAAGTTTACCGTTATTGGGACTTTATCACCAAAAACAAAAACTTTTGAATCCACGGAAATCTCATAATCGACTTTATTTGTCCAAGTATTTGCCACCACCGAATTTAGTGCATATTCGAATGAACTTGGTAATAGACTTCTTTGTAAGGTGACTTTCCTTTCCGAATGAAGGTTGAGAGCAAATGCGGGCCTTTCCGCAACAGCTTTTAACTTGTAACTTAATTTTCCAAGTTCACATTTATCAATTGTCTCGGGTAAAGTTCCAGGAAGGATCAATTCAAAATCCCAGTGATAATTATCGGGTGCGAGCACGGTATGCTGTTTTTTTGCTGGTAAAAATACCCAGTCGTGTTGAAACAAAACTCTTTCTTCGTTAAGATAATATTGACTTGATCCTACTCCTTAAAAATTAGAAGAAAACCATTGTTAATGAGGTGAACATATATAATAAGAGTGCAAAGTGTTGGAAAAAAAAGCGCGATAATTACCATCTGTCCATGCCAACTTCGATTTTCCCTGAAAGGTTAATTTAATTTCCTTGAATTTCGTTGGTTCAGTTATGACTAAAACGAGTTGACCACGAAGAACACAACCAACCGACTCTGATTGTAAACCACGCATTGTCAAAGTATCTTGTTCTAAACGTATCTGAAATAAAGGTGAAGGTGCCGAAAGATGTACCATCTTTTTTTTTTTTATTTTTAAATATTTAATAAAAGTCAAGAATGAATTATATGATTAATCAAAAAGTGAAATATCTAAAGATGATATTATTTAAAGAAAGGTTTCGGTTTAAAATTTTTTCAGAAAAGATATTTATTAATTATAGTGGCTTTTTGTTTTTTTAAAAAAAGCTAAAGGTTTTGATTTTTTTTTTTTTTGAAAAAAGTCGAACCATATTTATAATGAATTCATTATTGTTTTAATTTTACAATAAAGTATATAAATTATTATTCACACGATTTTTTTTTTTTTATATACTGTATATATCGAATACAATAAATAAATAACAATAAACATTACATATATACTAATATAATTTATTTGTCCTTTTTTTTTCACATCAATAACAAATCCTTTTGTGGGGGGATTTCCGTTATAAGGAATATGTACATATTGAAATTTATTTATAAAACAAAATTTTTTTTTTTTTTGGACATTAAATGAAATTCATCATTGAACTTTAATTTTTGGGCTGACAAAAAAGCGAGGCTCATTTCAAGAAATGTGATATAATTTTTTTTGAAAAAAAAGGTCATCTGGTTACTAATTTCAAATACATATTTATTTAGAAAGGAATACAAAGAATTATTTTGTAATATAACCTGATGGTAACAAAATATTCATGTACAGGCATCTAATCACATAGATAATAAAAACTACTAATATTTATTTATATTATGATGTAAGGGCCCTTCATCTGATAATAATTTACAATATAAATTGCATTGTTATTATGATCCTTAAATTAGTTTAGTATTAGATCTTTTTACGTTATCTATTATTCATCTTCAAAAACAATTGAATCATAAAGTACAAAAAACAATTTTTCGAGGATTAAATTTTTTTCCACCATTAATTACATTTAGTGGAATAATAAATCAGCCATCTCCAGTTTAGGTTATATTTCATCTGGAAAGGCGATGAATTTTAGCTCGATTCGTTTAATAAAAAAAAAATAATTTGTTTTGATGGTGTCACTTGAATATTTTTTTGTGGGGTAAAGTATACACGTGCGTTATTAATATGATAAAATTTTTTATTCGGTCAGGGATTGTCCATTATAAAATGGAATTCTCAAGAAAATGTCACAACACTAAATTGGGTCCTTTGGCTGATGAGAAAAAAAATCAGATGATAAAATAAATTAGGGATGATCAACAAGCTTTACCATTTTCTCCACGAATGAAATTATAAAGAATTCGGTTATTAAATATATAGAATCATCCCATGGTGAAATGTTTTTTGATATTAGGATTTCTTGGCAATCCAAAAAAAATAAATTTCTACATTCCTCGTGACCGAAATAGGCTATGGATTGTGGAACTTCATTTTTACGCCAATACGAAATTTGGTAATTTGTTTTTCAATGATTGAATAATAGCTAACCTTTGATGTCTTTTCACATAAGTTTAAGCCATCGACCAAATCATTTCTTCAAGGATTATTAATTTTTCTCGTGCAACTTAGCCCCGCTTTTTTTTCCCTTTCTCATCCGTTTCTTTATTTGTCACAGAAATCCTTTTTCACGTAGCATAAACAATCATGCAACCCACTTAAACAATTCCCAAAGTTGGGGTGTTTCTCTTTGAGTTACTCAATAAATAATTTCTGTATGCAGGTAAACAGATAAACAATAAAAAGTGCAAGTGAGCTTTGATGAGAAAAAAGTAAAATACTATTATCCTTAAATGGTTCAAGGTTGATATGAATTGCAGGCGAACTTTTACGCAAATCTATTTAAGGTATAAATGAAAATGAAATGCATGAATGAAGCATTTGTTATGATGGCTTTTTTTTTTTCCCTCGAGATGCAGCTTCGTTCTGGATAGAATGTTTGCATTACAAGAACTCGGTTATTTGTTATTTTTTTTTTTTTCATTAAAAAAGATTTTCGAGAGACAAGGTTCATTAAAATTACATTCCAATTTGTCCAAAAGACGAAAATTTTTACCTTTTACGCTTTTACGCATTTACGCAATTCTAAATTTTAAAAAAGAAAGGAATTATGTAAACAGTTAGTGGCATATCATTTATGCATTATTTGATTTCTTTAACTTTAAATGTTCCTTTTGCCGAGTAATAAACTTACTGATTATCTATCAAATATTGATCTGATAATTGATAAGATTAGATAAGATTTTTCTAACCAAACTACGCATAGGAGTTTTACCAAATATTTACTGTATGTTACTTGAAATTTATATTATGATTGGAGAGATCCCAATCGTTTATTTTTTCAATTAGCCTTAAAATTGGGATTGTTGAAAACTTACAATTGTTTTTTGGTTCTAGAAAATATCAGATTTGTTTTGAAATTTTTTTTTTTTTTTTTTCCTTTGCATCTACACCAATAATATCAGATAGAACAGGCTTACGAAACATTTTTTTTTTGCTTTCAAGTTTTTTAACTAGTATATATTATATTGTATTATTTATTGGATTAAAAAGCATTTTTAAAAAAAAAACCGGTTTTACAATTTTAAGCCCAAGATTACATCTTGTAAACTGTGATTCAAATACAAAAAAGCAGTGGACTTAATAATGTCTCCAATTAAAATTCGTTTATTTGAAACGTGCATTAATGAATTTTTAATAGCATTTTTTTTTGGTATTTTGAATTTTTAAAAAAAAGAATTGACGAGAAAATTTTCGAACAATATGATCATTTTTTATTTAATAAAAATTCTTTTTTTTTATTATCATTTTTACGTAATAAAAATCCGATTGTGCATGATTATTTAGAGATTGTTTCATTTAAAAAATTCTTGTGAGAAAAAAAAATTATCTTTCTCCATCACACATTCACACGGGCTGGGGAATTTTAGTTACATTTATGTAATGTAATTTTTATCTGATTTTAATTAATAACAAATGAATACGCCCGATTATATGACAGTGAAATTGTCTACAACGAAAATATTAAACTTTGAGATACAATTTACCAAATAGGGGATAGACAACCTTAGTGAAGACTAAGAATGTCCGAAATCTATTGGTTCAACCCTTCAGTCCATTTCATGATTTTTCAGCATTTTGGTGGGTTGTTTACCACAAACAATATAAACACTTTGTAAAGTACAAGCAACAACCCGGCACCACGACCTTTCTAACGAAATATCAGGATTTGTTCAAAAGCGCTATACTTTGAAAACGGTGACTCATTTTACATCATGCCGTATTATTTCATGTTAATTATAATTGGGTCGAAATAATTCTATCCGAAATTGAAAATTAAGGTTGGAAAATTTTATATCTAATCATTTTCTATCTTCCTTTATCCATTTTTTATTCTCAAGTTTTTTATAATAAAAATTACTTTACTGAATCCGTGTCATACCTAATTCATCTCTGTTATATCGCTATGTAAATTTGATAAAAGAATCCGGATGATATTTAATCGGTGACCTTGCCGTGGCGATTTCTGGCAATTTCGCTCAATAACTAAAAGTCGATTTGTTAATTTTTTATACATTTATTTTTAATACGTTTTAAAGTTCGATCAAAGTACATATCATAAAGAACATTAATCATACCTTTTTGATTTTTTCTTTCTAATGAATTCATTCGGATTATAGTGCTTTCTTTTCGAGGAGATTGATTCGAAAGCTTGTAGGTCAGAACGCCCTTTGCTAGTCATGACTTGCTTAAAAACAACTTTTACTTTGATTTTGTTTCTTTTTCCATCTTTTCGGCAGTACTTTTCATTCAAACTAATAAAAACGAACATTTAGCAATATACTAAGGTCAACAACTAAAAGTAGATATCAACATTCCTATTACGGATGAACCTTTTTACTCCTATTGGAAGAGTAGCGGGTCTATCAAAAAGTCCTGCCTCATTTTGTTTCATAGTATACAAATCCTTCGTTTGCGTCCCTATCTCCATACGAAATTGTACTCCAAGGTCGAGCAATCCTAAAGCCTGATCGAAGTTGCTCAAGCTTTCTTTCTACAATTTAATCATCAATCGTTGCTCCAGAATCTTTTCCGTTTTTGTCTTGTCACTATTAAATCAATAAATGGGTTTAAACTGCCCAGTATTTCCAACATTCCATGAATATAAGTTGCTCTCCTTGGGAAAAATGGACTCTGAAAAATTGAAGCGGCGAGTAAAATTGACATATGAACAATATTAAATCAATAATTAAAAATATTATATATAAATTAATACATTTAATTACATTTTCTAGGTTCAAGCAATTGGTCCCGTCTCGTCTCAATATTTCTCAAAATCCGTTGTGCAAAGAAATATACTGATATATAACCAATTTTAAAGATTGACCAGAATGAAATTCGTCCTTTAAAAAAAAAATAAATTGTTAAATTTCAGAAGAGGCGAGAAAAAGCTTTCTTGTTATCAAAAGGACGATATAGCTTAGTATATGTGTAATACCTAATTAAATTCAAGTTTTCCTGCAAGTAAGTTTCGGTATAAAATCTAGCTGCTTCTTTCAGTGAAGTTTAGTGTAAGACTAGAGCTTCTAAGTGTACTGTAGTTCCCACCTTGGCAAAGGTAAAGAAAATCACAGTTGAGCAGTTGAGACGCGACGCGTCCAAATTGATGCGTTTGTAAATCTGTCCCAATATGTCCGAAATTTATTTGCATTACATAGTCCTGACTTATTCCGGACACACCCGGACTTTTGTTGGTGATGTTTTTCCGAACCATGCTTATATCACTTTGTCGATCATTTGCCGATCATGTATAACTGAATTATCACATTATTAAATAGGACTGGTAACACAGCATAATGTTCGGACGAATTCTACATTTCAATAAATTCAATAATTTATATGAATATGTATATGTATAATAATACAATATGATTCTAATAAAGAACCGAATGTCCCAAAATGTAAATTGAATTTTATTATAAAATATATATTTAGAGCTCAGTTCGGGTGACCTATAAATTCATGGCTCAATATCGGGTCAGGTTTCAATTTTGACCCGACCCGATTATATGCGAAATACATAAATTAGCTTAAATTATCAAAGATAATAAAATCAAATTTTAATAAATATAAAAGTTAGTTTTAAATTATATCCCTTAAATGGTAAAAATTTACAAGCAAAATTTGCTTGCAATTTTTAAATTAAATTTATTAATTAACCTATATTTTTTTTTTTTTTTGATTTTACTTAAAATACAATATGAATTTTTATTATTTAAAAATATTTTTATTGAGATGAAACTTATGTATTATTTTAGACTATTGAAATTATATATATAATATATATTTTATCTTACTCTATATTATTTAATTTTTATATACAATATAAACACATAATATTGTAAGCAAATATGCTAATAAATTTAATAAATTTTAACAAATTTTTAAATTAAAATTTACTAATTAATCTAATTTATTTTTTATTTTTACTATAAACAGAACAAAAAAAAAAAATCTATAAATTAGTATCATTTGAAAGAAGGTTAATTACTTCATAAATACTAATCTAATTTTAATAAAAATTTGTAATTAAATAGTTTTAAATCTATTAAATAACTACTTAAAATATTAAAAATAATTTAAGATGATTAAAGTTTTTAAAAAATACTTTTAAATTATTAAACAAAAAAAATATATGAAAATCATAATTTACTTTATAGATATTATTCTAAAATTAATAAAATTTTAAAGTTATTAAAAAAAGATTATAAATTACTATTATAAAAATATGATTTACTTTATTAAAAAAATTTAAATAAAATTACATTAAATTCATAATAAGGAATATAATAAAATCCTTTTGATATGACAAAAGTTTAAACTATTGTAAATATATTTAAATTTATAATAAAATTAGTAACAAGTATCTATAATTTTAGTTTTTTTAAAATAATATATTAATTATAGCTCATTTTTAAATTTAAAATATTGAGATTTTATGATAATAATATTAATAATAAGATTATTAAATATTAATCTATATGTTGTTAGTTTAGTATCTATAAACTAAAACAATTTACTTTAATTTGATACATTAAAATATTTAGATTTTAAAATAAATAATATTATTAGAATTATTATTAAAGCTTTCTAATAAATTAATTATAACTTTATTGAATTAATAGTACTGAAATATTATAGATCAATAAATTAATAGATAATTTTATAGATTATTATTAAATAAATTATAATTTCTTAACTGTATCTTAATAATCAAAATAGCTAAAACTTTAAAAATAACAGAAATAATAATAATATTATTATTAAGTTATAATAATTAAATAAATTTAATAAAGTTTAAAGTATTTCTATAATTTTTTTTTAGTTTTTTTCTTTATTTTTAATTAATAATAAAAGTAAAAAAAATTTTATATAAATAAAATAAAAATTTTATGTACTTTAACAGATTATTATATGAAATTTTAAAATAATTTTTAAACATTCACATTAAAAAATAATTAAAAGTTTATAATTTGATAAGTTTGTAAATCAAAGTTTATTAAAATCATTAATCTATTATTACTTTTTTATTATTAATTTAAATTGATAATTTTATTAATGTGACTAAATCTTTAGAATTATTAAAATAAACTGATAATCTTTAAAAATCTAAAATTTACTAATTTATTTTTAATTATTAAATTTTTTTTTAAAAATTTTTAGTATTTTAATTAATATTTCTTATTATAAGTATAAAATTAAATATAATTCTATTTAAATAATTATATTAATTAATAATTTAAAATTAATAAAACAATTAAAATTTTAAATAAATATATAATAAATTATTATTAAAAAAATTAAATTTTTAAACTCATATATTTTGCTAGTATTTCTAATAAGTCAAGTCAAGTTGAGTTTCAAGTCAAAATTATTCTATATACTTTTAATTTAAAATATTTATTTATTATGTATAACTAAGATTACTTATGTAAACTCATTTTAAATAATAAAATATTTAAACTATAGTTTTGCTAAATTTTTACTAAGGTTTTAATATAGTTTATATTTTTATAAAATTTTGATATAGTTTTATCTTTTCTAAAATTTCACAGATTTTTTAATAATATTTTAATATAATTTCGCTAAATTTTATTTTTTCTATTTAGATGATTTGTAAAACCTCTAGATTTCATCTAGTAATCTTAGGTATAACTAAAATTTACAATTATACATAATTATGTAAATCAAGTATATGAATTTATATAAATCATTTTCAGAACTCTTATTTGCTATCTATCAATCTTAAAATATAAAAATATTACTTTTTAATAGGTTTTAATGAGATAAATTCAATAAATTAAATTTTATTTTTAAATAATAAGTTATTTAAATTGATATATATTAATAAATATTAATTTTTATTAGAAATTTCTAAGTTTACACAGGATGTATATATATAGATTGCGTGATATATATATTTATCACTGGTGTTACACTCTTTATCTTTAATTTTTACTATTTATTCTAAGGACTTAGAATTTTTTTAGTGAAAAATTATTATTCATCACAGCCTATCTATTATATAGTTATTATATGATATTACCAAGTTCATTTTCATTTATCTTAACGTCTAAGTTAAAAGACTGCAGTAGTTAATTCTACACATTGGAGTTTCTGACCTTAGGATTTTCTCTAAGTTCTACAGGTATCCGTTATACTTGAATCAACTCGGCAATTTTATCACAACTTAGAATTTAAGATATGTTAGTCAAACTCATAATGACAAACTCAATAGCAAGTTAGTGTAGTATATTACAACAATCCTAGATGAAAGACAACGTTGAAGGGAAAAGTAGTTTGTGTAGATTTAAATTGATTCCTTTATTTATAACTTGAAACTCGTAAGTAACTTACAAATGAGTTAATTTATAATTTAAGCAAAAAGCCATTTTATTTATATAAAAT